AATTAATATTAGATTTATCTTTGGGTGAACTGTTGGATCTGTTTTTCTTGTTCTCTTGTTGTTTTTGTAGTATCTCTGCATAATTGGTCTCTGCCAGCTGCCCTGTCTCCCAGTTCTGAAGCATCTCTTTACAGTACTGCTTCTGTTGCCTATATTTTCAACAGAAATTTTACTCTTCTGAAATTTTTTTGCATCTCTTCATGAACTCTAATTATTTTCTATAGTGGTTATTCCTGTTTTATATCATTTTGTTTAGCTCAGCTAGCTTTTTCATTAGTGCCTTTTCACACTTGCTGATCATTTTATTAAGTTCATTACATGCTTAGCTATATCTTCTTTGAGCTCCTCAAGCACCTTGTTGACTTTTTAAATCTTCTCTTTATGCTTTCAAATAATTCAGCTGTGTGGCTTTTAATTTCATCCCCCATCAATGCTTCATGAAACAGCTTTAGAGAAGTTGGAAAATATGGGAGTCATTTTGTTGCCTTGTCTTCTCATGTTTCTGTTGTTTGGATTTTTTGTTTGTTTTGTTTTCTTTGGGCTGAGGTTTGCAGATTGATTGTAGTGGAAGACATCATTGCTCTTATGGAGATCTCTTTAGTTAGTGTCAGCTTTTCAGTGTTATGCTCTGTGCATGTCCAACAGTAGGACTTTGTCCCTGGCCCAAGATCCAACCACCTCGATTTATTTGGGATGACAGGCTGCTGCAGTGTATTTGGCTTAGCACTTAGGTCTCTGTGAATGAGTCACCAGTTGGTTAATGACACAAAGGCAATCCAGACATTAGCATACAGAGAAAACCAATTAATAGCAACAACTATGCCATGTTGGCAGCAGCAATAAAATCAGCAATAGTAATAATGTTAAAGATAAACTGTGCATTGATATACCCTAAGAAATGGTAATATACCCTAGAATCTTAACCCTAGAAAATAGATCTATAATTATAGTATAAACACTAAAACAAACCAAATATTGATATACAGTAAATAGTAAATTCAAATGTTATACTTTCACTTAAAATCAGAAAATAATTCAACAATAATTGAATAGAATTAACCACCTATCTAAAGATTAATAAAGTTTAATGGTTGTAATAGTAAAGATAGAGGGGGTGGGATACCAGATAATAAAAATAAGTAGAATTCCAAAAATTAATCAAGGGCTGTAGATTTAGCTCAGTGGTCCCTCTGACTTTCATGCACAAGGTACCCAGTACCCCCCCAAAATTAAACAATGGAAGATGAGAATAGAAAAGTGAAATACAGTAATATCTCAGTTCATGAACATTTCTGTTCATGAACAATTTGGTTCACAACCAGAAGTGTTCAGAAAATTTTTCTTCTGTCCATATTGAGTGACAATATGACTGTGGCTAATTTCCCTGTATAAGCATAAGTACAGCCAGCTTCCCTAGAATCATGAATCCAGTTACCACTGTAAATGATCCCTTTGAGAAGTGAAAGATAATTAATTGTATTAGATAAAAGAATAAACAAGAAAAAGGAAAAAAGCAAAATAAAGGGAAACAAGAAAGGTAACAAAAAATAATTAAAATGAGGAAAATTTAATTTATTTTTTGGAAGTAAAATAATGAAAGATTTATTTTGTTGGCAAAAGGCTGATCACACTAAAATCAGTGCCAGGGGTTGACCCACACAGTGGGCTACAGCTTTTTTACAGCCATGATCTCATTCAAGTGGTTACATCTCATTTCCTCAGTTTACACTACTAATATACAAGTCATAGTCAAAAGATAGTTAACTTTAACCAAGATGTAGCAATTCTTTGTAGTTAGGAGGCTCACCTTTAACATTGTTTAGCTATCTATTTTAGCCTGCAGGCACCGGGTATTCAGAGTCAGGAAAGCAAAGTTAACAATTGTTCTTTTTTATCTTGATACTTTTGCAATCATGTGGTCTTGTGGTCCTGATGTACCCCTGTTATCTCAGGATGAGGCCAGATATCCTAGTCTAGAGTTAATACCTACAGTGTCTGTTAATTTTGAACTAAACAAAGCAGATTTCAGTTAGATAAGAGCAGAAGTCATTCCACATTTTGCTAACATTTTGTAGGTTTTTAGGTTATTTACAAAAACTCTCTCTATCATTTCTGCCCTTCTTTTGGGGGTAACTCCTTACCCCTCATTGAATTCATACCAATTTTCATTATTTCATATAATTAACATCTGATAATGTTGGACAGCCACTATCCTCTGAGGTATGAGTTTAGATATCCATTTTAGTATGCAGGGACCAAACATGAGTATCACCAGTATAATAATTATTGGTCCCATTAGTGTGTTGACCCAGGCTTTCCATCCCGACAAGTTAAGACCAAAATTGAATGTCAGGTCCTTGGCACCAAAATATTTTCCTAGCAGTTTAATACCATCCCTTAGTTTATCTAGTGATTCCTTAACTATTCCTGATTTATTTGCATAATAACAGTATTCCTCTGCCAGAAACAGACATGCCCCCCCTTGAATAAATCAGGGGGTTGTCTATTTTGTAACACTACATTAGCTAATGAGTCTAACTGAGTTGCTAAGGCTTGAAATGCATCTTGAATTTCTTCTAAGTTTCTTAAGATACATGGTGGCCTTCTGAACATGACTTCATACAGGGAGAATCCAGTATAACTTGAGGTATTTCTTATTTTAAGGAGGGCTATCAGGAGTAAATCAACCCATGACCCTGGCACTATCTGACAATATTTGGTTAATACACTCTTAATCACATGATTCATTCTTTTTACTTTGCTGGAGCTCTGGGGCCAATAAGCAGTATGTAAGTAGCATTTTATATGTAACAGTTTAGCTAGATCTTGTACAATCTCTGCCACAAGTGCTGGCCCATTGTCACTGCCTATGGAGAGAGGCAGACCAAACCTTGGAATTATCTCTTTTAATAAAATCTTGCAAACCTCTTAAGACTTCTCTGTTTTTGTAGGGAAGGCCTCAGGCCACCCAGAGTAAGTACAAACACATACCAACAAATATTTATAACCTCTGCGAGGGGAGACTTCTGTAAAGTGTATTTGTATATCCTCAAAGGGGGTTGCACCCTTCCATTATATTACAGGTGGTGCCCTAGACCCTGAAATTGGGTTTATTTTCTGACAAATTCGACACCTTTTTGAGATTTGTTCACACAAAGCAGAAATCCAGGGCATAAAGATATATTTTTCAAACAGTGTTTGGAGAGCTGTCTTTCCTCCATGAGTCAAATCATGATATCTTTTAATCCAATAGTAAGATAGCGTCTCTGGTATCATTATTCTCTTGTCAAGCAGAATACAAACAAGTCCTTGTTTTTCAGCCACTTGCTTCTTAATCCATTCATCCTCTTTATCTGAGTATTTTATAGCAGCTAAGGGTTTTTGTATCTCCATTTTCCTCTTTTGTGCATGGGTGAGTACAGCTATCTGAAGTTTCTGTTTAGCTGCCATTTTGGCTTCTGTGTCTTCCTTAGTATTGCCTTTTGCTACTGTGTCTTTTCCTTTTTGGTGTCCAGAGCAATGCATTACTGCTACTTTATCAGGTTCCCACATTGCCTCCAATAACTGTATTATCTCCTGTTTATTAATCTGTTTGCCCTCTACTGTGAGAAGACCACACTCTTTGTATATTATGACATGGATATATAAAGTGGCAAAGGCATAATAGGGATCATATAAACATTTACCCTCTTACCTTTTGCCCATCAGAGAGAGTGTATGAATATCTAGAGGTGTGCTCACTGAGCCAACCATCCAGTGGGGAGGGGTCCAATTTGGACAACTTTGTCCTGAGTTGTCACTGCATGGCCAGCATAGTGTAAGCCCATTTTCCATGAAACTGCTCCCATCTGTGAATAGGATGAAATCAGCAGAGGGGTTTTCTGCAGATCCAGATGACTCAAGAACAGATTGTCAGCAATGCTGAGTCATGGTCAGGAGGGATAGTTTCTGAGGGCAAAGAGGTAGTAGGATTCAAAGTTTTAACTGGAACAAAATGTAGGCAGAGATTCTCACAAATGAGGGCCTGATATTGTATGACTCTATTATTTGAGAGCCACTGATGTCCTCTGTTATTCAACAGTTCTAGGAAGACATGGGAAACTGAAGAGTCAATTCCTGTCCTAAGGTTAACTTGTCAGCTTCCTTAGTTAGCATAACTGCAGATGCCAGATCTCATAAACAAGGGGGCCATCCTTTTGCAACTGGATCCAAATTTTAGATAGATACACCACTGGCTGGTTCCAGGGGCCCACTGTTTGGTTGAGCACCGCCAAGAGAGTGTGGTTTTTTTAGTCACATGCAAGGTAAAAGATTGTGTCACATCTGGGATTCCCAATGCAGGTGCAGCAGAGAGGGTTAGTTTTAACCTTTTAAATGCTGATGGCACTGATTACTTGCTTTTTATTCTCAAGTATTTCTTTAGTAATCTGGAATCCCAAATATTGGACTTGTTGTATACAAATTTGGCCATTTTTCCATGAAACTTTATATCCTGCTTCTTGAAGCAGCATTAATAGTCTCTTAGTATCCTGTGAAGTTTTTATTCATTTAGTACATCAGAAAATTAACAATAATACTCATAATTATATGCATGAAACTTTATGCCCTTTAGTTTAATTTGTTATCAAAAGCATTTTTTCAATAAAACCTTTCAATAACTCTTTGTTTTTCCGCAGAAAATATTATATTTCAAAAATTATAAACATATCGAACCATTATAAACATATCACAATAACATATTTAGAGTTCAACCCTTTAATGATAATTGATATAAACAACATATTTGGCAAAGTTTATTGGGGGTATATCTTCTGAGAAGGCTACGGAAATTATTGGGGCTCCCATTAGTGAATAAAGAGCAAAATAAAATCTTCTGAGCAGCTGCTTTTTTTATTCACCAACAGGAGTCTATCCAAACCTAAAAGTTTATATTTCATTATCTTAATTTTTTTAACTTGTAAAACCAGGTTGTAGAAATTAACAAATTACTTGTATCTTTGAAAACTATGGAATGTTTCACAAATTTCAGGGTCATCCTTGTGCAGGGGCCATGCCAATCTTCTCTGTGTTGTTATAATTTTAGTATATGTGCTGCTGAAGTGGGCACAAAAGGAGGACATTATTTAAAAAGAAAATGAAGAAAAAAATAACCACCTAAAAATTAAGAAAAAAAATAGAATCCAAATATAAATTTTTTTTTCAATATTTCTTCCATGGATATTTTCTTGAAATCTAGCAAGTCATAATTTTCTCTTCCTAGATTTATGGACCATGTATTTGTGAGGTTGTCCCTCCTGTTTCTGTGGCCTCTCTCTCTCTGTAAACCTCTGACTGTGGTATGCAAGGTATGTCTGTGCTCACTTTGGAAGGAGGAGGAAGCAATCTGACCACCGATCTCTGAAGGATGTAGGCAGTAGGTAAGTGGTACAAGCAGTCTTTGGACTTAATGACACCACTTAACCTCCCAGCCACATCTGGAAACCACACTTGCCATGAAGGCTGAGACCTATATCTCTTTTGGCCTGAATATAAACTTCTCAGGGGGTCTATGTTTTGCCTGTACACTCTCTGTGACCACCTCCCACGGCTTTTTCTCACCTTGTCACCGTTAGTAACACTGGAAACCCTGAGGAGTTGTTCTGTGGCTCAGTTTTAAACAACTCCTTCAAAAGTGGTGCCTGATTAAACACTCTCTGGCAATATTGTGGACTCAGCACTGAGATTTTTCTAGCCTGCTGTGAAGGAGTCATTTTCAGAGTAAAATTCCATGCTTAGTAGTTTATAATAGCTGTGCTTCTGGCCTGATTCATTGTTTCTCCCTGGAGTTGCCAACTCTCTATGGCTTACATTATTTCCTGGGGCACTGGACTCATTCATAATCAGGTTGTTGGCTGGTTGGCACCTTGCTGCCCCACACCAAGGGGAAAAAAACACAGAGTAGGCTTGCAATTAGAAAGTGGCCTCAATCAAAGGGGTAGATTCCTCCTTTGGGCATGGAGTTGGTCTGACAGCAGGGAGAAGTCTTCAAAGATGGGTTTCATCTTATGAATCAACCACAAGTAAATATCATTACGTACGCAAGTACATATATTCTTGTATATGTATATCACATATACAGAATCAATCTATAATCATTTGCAAGTATATTGAAATGAAAAAATAAGCAATACATAAATAAAGCTGTACAAAATCTTATCAGTAGTATTACTTGAAATACTGAGGGATGAGCATATAAAATTTTTAAAACTTAGAGAAACAATTCAGGAAAAATGAGCAGAGACTCACTAATTGAGCCTCAAAGGGATGAAATTGACCATGGGCCAGATATATGGAACATAAATTCATTAAATAACAAAATCTTTAATTTGCTCTTCAGGAAAACCCTCACAAATCTACTGAAGGACTGGCTTTTCGAGACAGGCATAATGGGAAGAAGCCAGCTCAGCTGGTCTATGACTTGACTTCACAAACTTAAAATCCCCTTACATGGAACATAACTATTCCCAAAAAGAAACTTGTGACCTGAAAATCAGTGTGGCTAATCGCCACACCTGTGCAGAAGAACTCTGATACTCCCCATCTTGCCATCCAGTCCACAAAAAGTGCCTCCCTCCCTACTATAGTCCCAGCGAGCAACTGATCAGGAACCACATCTGAGCTGTGTTTCTCAGCCCCATACTTATTGTCAGCCTCATAGTAAAGCTCCTTCGTTTTGCAAAAACTAGTGCAATAGTGTCACTGGGGAGCTGGGTCCCAGCATAGGGTCCCTCACTTCACTGGTCCTTCTTTGTGCCCTTGATGAAAATTCCATTGAGACACATAGGTGGTCACAAAATAGAGGTAGACTTTATTGTAATGAGAGAGCTAACCCTTCAACTGAGAAGGCAGGAAGTGTCATGAAGGCATCTGTCCTGAGTGTGAGCTTGAACACTTTTCTTATGCATACAAAAGCTATTTTTTGGTGTTCAAAGAACTATGGTGATTGCAATGCTTATTAACTTTTGTTTGGGATACTTTGAAATATAAGCATCTCATCAATACCTTCCTGTTCCTTTTGGGTGTCAGTGTTGCTTCAGGAGCCTTAACCATATAAGAATCTAAATCAGGTCTCAACCCAAGGACTCAGGGTCTTTAAAGAATACTCTCTTGGCCCAGGGATTTAGCTCAGTGGTTCCACCACCTGCCTTGCAAGCACAAGGTCCTAAGCTTGACCTCTGGTACAAAAAAAAAAATCTCTTTTCTGTTATCATTGGGGTGGCACTCAAAAATGCTATGCAGCTTGTTTTGGAAAGAGAGAACCAGGTGGCCAGATATCTTTAAATGTCATTGTGTTCTGTAGGATCACTTTTGGTCTGAGACCTAAGGAATGATTATAAAGATACTGTACATTGAAGTCTTTTATATTCAGCTATAACTGGCAAAGTTTTGGTCCCCTCTATGTTGTGATTCAGGACTGCTAATACCTAACCATTTGCCTAAAAATGGTATGGGTTACAGTAAGGCAGGCACCTCTTGCCCACTAACAGTGCTGGCAAATAGAAATTAAGTTGCAGCTGAGCAAAGAGAAGAAGAAATAAAATGTTAGATATTTTCTTGCATGGATTCATTTACACATGAGGTAGCTACCACTACTGTTATACACACTTTACAGGGGAAGAAAATGAGAAATGGAGAGGTAAAGTAGTTCTTGTCCAGTGTTGGCAAGGTCAGAAGTGGCTGAGCTGGGATGTAAAACCAGTCTGTTTGTGGAGGTTAAACTGTCAATCAGAGAAACTAAATTATATAAAAGAAACCTTTGCTTGATCCTTAGATTCCACTCTCAAGTATTTGACTCAGAGCTCTTCCTACAGTGCATGTGGTGTAGGGTATTGTACTTTAAACTAGAATCTATTTATTAGATGAAGTAGAAATTTGCAATGGGAACTTGAATAACACATACAATTAAGGACTCTGTGTCTCCTAAATCAATAAAAAATGATTGGAAAATAAGCAATTGCCTTTTATCTGTTTCAGTTTGGTGCAGCCCCTCCTTTACTACATGGTAATGAGGAGTGCTGATCGGGCTCAATACTTTCTCAGAATGCAGACATATTTCCAATGTGGAGATGATATATACACAGGCAAACTACTTTATTTGGAAGTCAACTGTCTGGCAAAGTTTACATTACAGAGAAAGCCAGATCAGACATTCCAAAAAGGAAAGCAGGAAGAATTCTGACTCTGTAAACGCCTTCCATTTCTTCTTCCTGGATCCTAAACCAGAGGCACAGTTAATTTTACATCCCAAAATGGTAGAGAGCCAAGACTGAGCTCTCTGCTGCCCCAGGAACTAAGGGCCCTTGCTAGTGGGTGTCATATGAGCACTTGTTTTAGTTTGATTTCTTGTTCCAGAGTATTCCTTTCTCCATTTCTTTGTGACTGCATGATTACAGTGAAACTCAAAGGCCCCCAACTGGTTACATTCTCCTTATCACCTACTGAATGATTGATGCAATGTAACACTTTTCATTCAGATAATTTGTACTTTTCAGTCTACAAACATTTAATGTAGCATATTTTACATATAGTAACCTCTGTTGTACCTGCAGAATATAATTTAGATCAAACAGTAAATCTTTAATTGTGGAATTTTGTTCTCACTGACTTAAACAATATTTTTTGTTGCAAATATCAGGAAGTTATTGAGCTGCCTTGAATAATAACAGAATTTTTTAAAGAATATGATGTTATTATAAATAAATAATATTATGCAACATAGGGAAGAAAACCCAACCAAGGCCTTTAAAGTCTAAATGAGGAAACTATAAAAAATAAGTGACTGCTCTTCCCGTTCTCACTCTTTGGGAAAGGTTATATAGGTTCCTTGCGTTTTCTTTTTAGGTCTGAATTTTTCTTTTGGAAGACTTACTTTCTCTGCTTTTCCATACCTATGTATGTCCCTACATCTGGAATTCCAGGTTCCCTAAAGTAGTCAAGGGTCCACTTCACCCAAGAAGTAGAGTCAGATGGAGAGCGCATACAGTAGAAGCAGGACAGCAGGATCTCAAATGTGTGGGGTGAAGGAAGATGGGTTGCAAAAGACCATATGACTCCATACAGCAAAAGCCTCCCTGGGGCCCACAAGATTGTACAAGATTGTTTTATTCACAACCGGCAAAAACTGTAAGATACCCTGATATTTATCAATTGTATGAATAAGTAATGCTATATCTGTGAAAAGGAATCTTATTCAGTAATTAAAAAGAATGAATGGTTGATGCATACGAGGATGTGGGAGACTCCTGAAAATATGCTGAATGAAAGAGAGCCTAAAAAAGAGGATGGAATTTGTGATTCTAATTACACCATGTTTTAGAAGAAGGGAATCTTATCTACAGAATGGTGGGGACACTGGTTGCTTAGAAAGAAAGATGAGGGGAGGGGAGGGTAATGTTTTATTCTGTAGCAAGAGAAGAATTTGACTTATATGGCTTTATGCATTTGCCAAAAATCTCTTAGATTTGTGCATTTAGTGGTATTTAATTTTAACTCATAAACTATAAATAAATATTGAACTATAGATAATAAAGTATAAATTATCATGTTTGGGGGTGTACTGATGTCTATAGTTTACCATATCAAAAAAGGAAAACTGACATATTCTTATATAATAAAAGAAATACAGAAAATGCAAAGTGTAGAACACATGTTGTATATATGAGTGTCTGCTATAAAATTCTTTTTTTTTCAGCTTTAATTGAGTTGATTGGTACATTTTAGGGATACAGTACAGTTACATTCATTGTTGGGATCTTGTACCTCTACATGACAAGTCTTGATTCTCATTTTTTCCCCTTACCCCTGCCCTCCCTTCACCCCCTCCTCCCCTTCCCATCTACAAACACTTTATTTTCATCTTTTCATTATCTCACATTTTTTTCTTTTCCCTTATTACCCTTCCCCTACCCATCCCACCTTCCCTACACCTTTAGCTCCTTTCTTCCAATTTCTAAATGTCAGTAATCTTATTAGAATCTTATGTATTATTGCAGATTATTCACACCAGAAATATAAAATTCTTTTAACTTCTTGCATTTGAAAGCTTTGAAGTCCAGGCTGAGGATTTGG